AATAAGGTACCTACAGGCCATCCATCATCTTTCATTTCCATTTTATTTTTATCACTACCTCTATTAAAACAGAATCAAGACAGCAATGGAGGCTCCTTTCTAATAAAACAATAGAAAGACCTAACTCCTGAATGTGTTTTTCAGATTGAAATCTTCCAGCTTTAATTGCATTTTCATTTGAAAGTGATGAGTTGTAGCCATGCTGATTAATTCCACATATAGCATAATGGAAAGGGGATGTGAATAACACACCTTCTATAGTTTGTGTTTTAAGCAGTGCTCACAACTCAACCCCCCCATGGGTCCAGGGAGTCCCTTGTCCTAATAGGACCAAGGGCACTTCCCTACAGACATGAAGATCCCTAGATCTGGAAGCTGTCTTTCCCAGGACACTATCAAAAACCGCTGTGATGTAAACTAAGACTGCCTGGCACCCTCAGACTCTGCTTGTACCCACATTAGCATTGTCACTCTCATGTCAACCCTGTAAGAATGGAGAACAACTGGAACGAAAATCCATTCTACATCTAGCAGACTGTCTAGAGCTCTTAATGAAGGGCCAAGGACTACAGAAATTCTCTTCATCATGAGCCTTGCTTTGAAAATTTCCCCAATCATCCATATGATGTAAGCTGGTGGAATATTTTTTCAAATTCTGCTACACGACAGGTAATGATTATAAAGAAAGCCACCTTACTTGATAAGTGGTCTGCATTCCCGTTAGAGGCAAGAGGGAGGCTCTCCAAGACCAAGTCTAGACCCAGTGAAGATATAAGGCAGGAGGGAGCAGTAGGGAAGCTTCCTTATCACATTTGAGGGTTGAGAGTTTCAGCCAAAAATCTAGGCTGGCTCAAGTGCATTGTTGTTCCCTGGTGCCTGTTGAAAAGGTCAGTTTTCATTCCAATCCCAAAGAAAGGGAATGCCAAAGAATATTCAAACTATGGCACAATTGCACTCATCTCACCCACTAGTAAAGCAATGCTCAAAATTCTCCAAGCCCGGCTTCAACAGTATGTGAACTATGAACTTCCAGATGTTCAAGCTGGATTTAGAAAAGGCAGAGAAACCAGAGATCAAATTGCCAACATCTGTTGGACCATCGAAAAAGCAAGAGAGTTCCAGAAAAATATCTACTTCTGCTTTATTGACTATGTCAAATGAATGTGTGGATCACAACAAACTGTAGAAAATTCTGAAAGAGAAAGGAATAGCAGACCACCTGACCTGCCTCTTGAGAAATTTGTATGCAGGTCAGGAAGCAACAGTTAGAACTGGACATTGAACAACAGGCTGGTTCCAAATAGGAAAAGGAATATGTCAAGGCAGTATATTGTCACCCTGCTTATTTAACTTATATGCAGAGTACATCATGAGAAACACTGGGCTGGATGAAGCACAAGCTGGAATCAAGATTGCCGAGAGAAATATCAATAACCTCAGATATGCAGATGACACCACCCTTATGACAGAAAGCAAAGAAAAACTAAAGAATCTCTTGATGAAATTGAAAGAGGAGAGTGAAAAAGTTGGCTTAAAGGTCAACATTCAGAAAACTAAGATCATAGCATCTGATCCCATTATTTCATGGCAAATAGATGGGGAAACAGTGTCAGACTTTATTTTTTGGGACTCCAAAATCACTGCAGATGGTGACTGCAGCCATGAAATTAAAACATGCTTGCTCCTTGGAAGAAAAACTATGACCAACCTAGACAGCATATTAAAAAGCAGAGACATTACTTTGTCAACAAAGGTCCATCTAGTCAAGGCTATGGTTTTTCCAGTAGTCATGTATGGATGTGAGAGTTGGGACTATAAAGAAAGCTGAGCACTGAAGAATCGATGTTTTTGAACTGTGGTGTTGGAGAAGACTCTTGAGTGTCCCTTGGACTATAAGGAGATCCAACCAGTACATCCTAAAAGAAATCAGTCCTGAATATTCATTGGAAGGACTGATGTTAAAGCTTAAACTACAGTACTTTGGCCACCTGACTCATTTGAAAAGACCCTGATGCTGGGAAAGATTGAAGGCGGGAGGAGAAGGGGACGACAGAGGATGAGATGGTTGGATGGCATCACCGACTCGATGGACATGAGTCTGAGTAAACTCTGGGAGTTGGTGATGAACAGGGAGGCCTGGCGTGCTGCAGTTCATGGGGTCACAAAGAGTCAGACATGACTGAGCAACTAAACTGAACTGTGCTTGTTGAAGAAAAAGGCTATAAGTTGCCAGGAGGAACTTCAAAGGGAGTTGGAGAGAATCATAAAAACCAAATAATTAACTCAGGTGAGTCCCTCGGACAGGAAGTCTACAATAACTAAGCAGGGTAATGAGGGAATGAGAACCAGGTAGCAAGACTATGTAGAATCAAGAAACTATGAATCATCCAGCAAGCCAGACCTAGTAACAACAGATTCTTATAAACAACAAAAACAAACAAACAAATCAAAGTGAAAATGGTCAGAGAGAGAGAGAGAACCTGTTGCAGTTTTGGGAGAAAAGCAAGCATCACTGACAGCTTATTGGTTGTTTGCTATAAAAGCAATAATGATGTGTTCTGATTCCTAATGTCTACTATCTAAAATGGTTTGCTTGTTATAATTGAGGAAGCCCTTTACCCATCCTAGGGAGAGGGGTGGAATGGAAAAGACCTTTCAAAATAGAATATCATATGTCCCAGTCTGGGTGGGACCATCTCAGAGTTTTACTTTGTCCTGGTGTAATCATCAGTAGCACCTCCCTTCACTCTAAAATAGAATCCTGAATTCAATGTCACACTTTATGGTCATCTTACTAGGAGGGCTCTAACTGAGAGAAAAGAGGGAAGGAAATCAGGAGACAGTTATCCATTTATGCAAAAAATATATATTGATCATTTACTCTATGCCAGGCTCTGGTGATACTACTGTAAATTAGATAACTATGTCTGCTCTTCTCACAGAGTCAGCCACATAACAGGGAAGTAAAATAGCTAAAAGGGAAAGTGAATACCAGACACAGTCTGATTAAAACTAATTTAATAAAGGATAACCAAGTGGTAATTAGAGACTATTATCAGAAAAATAAATATTCCAAAAAGCATGAAATCTAAAATAATCAAAAGCTGAAGGAAATAAGATGTATTATTGACCTTCTAGCCCTTATAGTGAACTGGACAAAGTATTCCCTGTTTGCCCTTCACCCCAGCTTGAGGTAGGAGTAAGAGTCCTTTCATAGATAAAGGGTTGATTTAATCTGTCAGTCTCTCTATCTACATATATTTATTAGTTCCTACAGTGCTCAGAGTAGTTTGCCAGCTGGGAATATAATAGTGAACCAACAGGCAGGCCTTAACATCACAGAGCTGAGTTAGTTGAGTTCTGAGTAGTCAGAATTGTTCTAAATACTTAGAGACCAGCATTATTGAACACCTAAAAGTCAAACCAAGCACAATCATTTCTTGAAAGTAGTTTCTATTTTGTATTTTTAATAAGGAACTGATGTAGTTACCATTATATATATATATATATATTTATGTGTGTGTATATATATATATACACACATACATATGCATATATATATTACTTTTCTAGGCATCCTTTATTAGTTTTACACATTACTCTTGTCTTTCTGTCGAACTTGTGGTATATAAGAGCATGGGCAGGCAAGCATTTATTTTGTGCTTAAGAACTGGAAGCTTCTTTATGCAGCCCCACATCTGACATTTTGCCCAGAGGGATTTTCTACCTGTTTATTCATTCCCTTTGGCCTCCTGCTGCCTAGATAGCACCCAGTGCACGCTTACCTCCAGTTGCTGTCCTCTGAGATCAGGGAAGGATTGCGGGGCATTTACGACTCTCCTCACACCACTGCTGCTCCTCCACCTGATCTCATTAATGGCATCCCAGCCTAAGGCTTCATCAGTCTCTGCCTACGCACCACACACCTTCCCTCCTATCACAACACCCAAGATAGCAAGGGTCAAGAGGAACTCCTGTCGCTTTAAACATACACAATATGTAGGAGAGTTGTTCTACTTAGAATGGAAAATTATGCCAGGGACAAAGTCAACACAAAGAAACAAACAACAGAAAATAGAGAAACGGGAAAGTGCAGCTCCGTGAACCTGATAGCACTTTCCTTAAGGGTTGCAGGTGGTTTGTGGGTGTCTCTCTGGGTGTCTGTCCATCCTACATATGGAAATAGAGGTGGATTGAATTCATCAGGTAACTGTTCTAACATGGATAGCTTGTAGATGTCAAGTAACTCTGACTTACAAAAGACAAAAGCAAGTCATTCCATAGGCTGAAAATAAACAATGAAACAAAACTATGTTGCTTTTTCTCCCAGAATGTAATCCACACAAAATGTCCTGTGTGATTCCAAAATTTCCACAGTAGGAATGGATGATTTAATATGCCAAGGACCCCATTATTTCATAAAGAAAGAAAGTATACCTCAAGATATTCTAATTCCACACGTGAACAACAAAATACTGTCTTGTCTCCTGGTGACAGGCGACGAGGGGGCTCCAGCCCAGGCCCAGAAGATTCGGTGGCACCGGCTACATCCTCCCTCAGAAGGACCCTGAGTCTCTACTTGGAGCTCAGCTGAGCACCAGGCAGGGAGACACCAGCAGAACCCAGCTTTGCTGCCTGTGGTTTTGTAATAGAGCTTAGCAGTGGGCAGCCCCTATTACAGAGCTGTTGCTGTGCGCTATTTTCCACCCCTACCCCCGTTACCAGGCAACAGTTACCACGAGACCATTAACAGTCTTCTTCTGCCATTGGTCGGTGCTGCAACGGGCCGCCTGCCTCAGGGACCAACTGTCACGGAACAACCGTTAGTGGTCCTGCTCAGCCATTGGTCCGTGGCCGTGGGCCCCTCCCCCAAGCGACCAACTATCAATGAGCGACCATTAGTGGACGGCGCAGCCAATCGTCCGCAGAATGGTGGTCGTCAGGTGGAGAGTGAGGTAAGAGGCGGATCCCGGCCTTCTCCCCCAGGCCCTCCGGCTTACCCGGCCCTAGGTCAGCGGGTGAGTGGTGCTCCCAGGGAGCAGGCTGGGGACTGTCCTGCAGGGCTCCAGACCCCTCAGCAAGGCTCTGAACCTCTCCCCGGGCCCCACCTCTGTGACCTGATGACAGTGGCAGTCTGCATAGGATGCAGCCTGTGGGACCTGCCCTTCCCATGGTGCGTCTGGGCAGCCTGAGGAGCCTGAGGGACAGTTGGGTCCCGGGTGCCTGGCTCCCTCGGCAAGACAGCTGGGCAGGGTCTGGGGACCTGGCCCTGCGGGAGCCGCCAACAGAGAGCTGCCTCCTTTTAGCCAGGACTGGGACCTCAGAGGGGAAAAGTTGTACCTAGGGACCTTGCTCTTCCTCGTTAAGACAGAGCATGACATTTCTGTGGTAGAGATTTACAGGAACATCTTTACCTGTCCATGACCGGACCTGGAAAAGAAAGGATGTGACCCCAAGATGTTTCTAACAACTAACCACGCCCTCCTTCACCTTTCCTAAAAAAAAGGCTTCACTGAAAGCTTTCAGGCAGTTTGGGTGTTTTAAGGCATGAGCCACCCATCTCTTGGCATGGCCTTGCACTAAACCTTTCTCTGTTCCATATTCCTCCAGAAGAGAGCCATTCACTTCTTCAGAGAGTTCTGGGGTCAGAGTTGAGTTCAAATGCAAGCAGAAGGGGAGCTTTGGCCTTACTGTAAAATTTTAAATGTCATCATAACATTAATCAAATGTAGTTATTTTGGTATTTAATTTTTTTTTAAGAAAGGAAAAATCCCTGATATTTTCCTGGTGGAGTGAAACAGCTCAGAATGGTATATTTAGGCAATTTAAAAACATTTATTATTTATGTAAAAACCAAATACAATAAATCTGTTCTAAAGTATTGTGTGTCAGTCCATGGTGTAGAGCTGCCACAATGTTATTGCAGATAATGCATATTAAAAAGTATGAAATTACTGCACACTAGCTGACTTGATGGAGAAGGAAATGGCAACCCACTCCAGTATCCTTGCCTGGAAAATCTCACGGACAGAGGAGCCTGGTGGGCTGCAGTCCATGGGGTCGCAAAGAGTCGGGCACAACTGAGTGACTAACACTTACTTAGCTGAATTGATAACTCAGCCATTTAAAAAATAAAATCAAAACCATCATGTTAAAAAAAAAAAAAGTGTCTCCTGAAATGAAGTTAAAGTTTATGTTGTTCCACGCTACCACTGGTCTTCCCAGGAGGTGCTAGTGGTAAAGAACCTGCTTGCTAATGCAGGTAGCTATAAGAGACAAGAGTTCAATCCCTGGGTCAGGAAGATCCCCTGGAGGAGGGCACTCCACTCCACTCCAGTATTCTTGCTTGGAGAGTCCCCATGCACAGAGGAGCCTGGCGGGCTACAGTGCCTAGGTTCGCAAAGAGTCAGACACAACTGAAGCAACTTAGCATGCACACTACCAATACTAAAGGCTGTTATTTTTTTTTTAAATCTATGTGTAACTATATTTCCTCCCCAAAAGGCAGAATTACTGTTTAGATTAGCCTGACTACACTAACTATATGATAAACTCCAGTTGGTGTAGTTTCCAACTACTGGCTGATTTCTAAAAAAAAATCTTGGAACTTAAGAGTTTAAGAGTTTAGAGTTTACTCTTAAAACCATTCAGTTCCTTTTGTTTTGACTCATTAATCACCAAGCAAGTTTCTGATCCTAATTTACTTTTCCCAGTGGAACAAGTACCCCAATGGGTCGACTCAAGTATTCCAAACCACTTAATAGAATTCCCATTGTCAATTAATACCTTATCACTGTGGCCTGCTGAGAGTGCCCTAGGATGATAACCACTGTGACTCTGCTCTCTGGGAACTCATGACAAATCCATGGAGCCAGCCAATCATTGGGCAAAGTATAGAAGTTACCTTGCTTCCAGGGTACCCAAAACATTTAGGGATTCACAAAGTCACTGTGTCATTCATAGTCAAAGAATATTAGTGGTTGATTAAGCTGACTTATCTCAAAACATAGCTGATACCTATGTGAGAGTGCAAATTGGTTGAAATCAAAGGGGAAAAAGGAAAAAAAAAAAAAGACAAGTTTCTCAAGGGTAAGGACCAGCTTGTGTTTATCTCTGCAATTCTACATTCTAGCATAGTTTTTCCAAACTAGAATAATTTATTCTCTAACTATAGAAGTTTTGTTATAGGTGTTAAACAAACCTATAAACTTATATTTGTTTAAAACAAACATTAAATTACTTTTTAAAACTTAGCCAAATTCTATGAATTCTTCCAGAATTTTATGTATTTTGTATATACATGTATAAAGTATATATGCATTAGTGAAGTGAAGGTCGCTCAGTCATGTCTGACTCTTTGCAACCCCATGTATTATACACTCCATGGAATTCTCCAGGCAAGAATACTGAAGTGGGTAGTTCCCTTCTCCAGGGAATCTTCCCAATCCAGGGATCAAATGTCTCCCACATTTGCAGGTGGATTCTTTACCAGCTGAGCCAATAGAGAAGCCCTATGTGCATTATATTTATACAATCATTATAATAAAATCACATACATGATCTGTAAAACACATTTATACTTCAAGAAGCATTCATTTACCTCAGCACCTAAAGAGTAGAGGCTGACAGACCTTCAAGACTACTCAGTCAACCCTGCCCTCTTTTCCATGAATGTGGAACTCACCCCAGACTCCCTCCAAGACCATTATTCCAGACAACTTAAATAATTAGGATGGCCAAGAGATAAACTTGTTTATCATCCTGGTCTTAGCAATTCTGTAATAGAAAATAGTATTCAAAATTTTCAAGATTTTTCCCAAGTGCTTTTTGTGACAGTGATGCTCTTGACCACTTAACAGTAGTCTCAAGCTTTTCAGGAGATTTTCAGAAGCAGTGGTCTATTTCAGTGGTCAGTATAACCTGTGCCTGAAGAAAGCATTTATAAGATAGGAGGCTCAGTTAGAAATGCTAGCCAGTGACCATGCCCAGAGATTTTTCTCCATCAGATCTGGAAACCTAAACAGAAAGAGACACAGAAACATAGATTTGAAACTAGATGACATTTGTTGTGTATGTGTATGTGTTGGATTAACAGACTAAAAGATTTTGTTCCTTGCAAAAGTCTGCTCTTAATTTTATCAACCGTACTGTAAACATCTATGACACTGGTGTTAGGTAGATTGGGTAGGGCAGGGTAGAGCCATTGTGATCCCTCAAGTTATCAGTGCTGTTATCTCATGTCTGTCTGGTCCAACAATGCCATTTACTTGTGTGATGAACAAGTTATTGGAAGGATTTTCCCATTTTACTAAGAGACTATCAATTTGTCTTCTCATGATGATATTGGTTGACTGATAATGCCACAAAAGAAAATTAAAAATCCTTGTCTTGCTTCTGTACTTTATCCAAGTTGTTTTACAACCAAACTATTTTCAGAAAGGCCAATTCTGACTCTTAAGCAATTCAAACATTTGCTTTAAAAGGAAATTCTCAAGCAGGAGGTAAGCAGTAAGAGGTAGAATTGAGCTAGACAAGGACATGACAAGGTGCAATATTCAGTGTGTATATTGGGTTCAATTTTGCTTAAGAAATGAATTTCTCCAGCTTATATTTTAATTAGCTTAAGCAACTGCATTCAGGAGCCAATAACACAGACTTACGGGAACTGAATTACTGAAAGGGTTCTGAGCCCAGGCTCTAAATCACAGGCCTTGAGCTGATCTCATAATTAACACCAAGCTGAAGCACTGCATCAGATGCAGCAGAAAACACCGCCAAAGAGCGGATGGGGAAACACAGCAATCATTAGACCTGGGCAGTAGCATCTCAGGGACTACAAAGCTTTGCTGAATGTTGGGAAGTCAGTTACATCAATGTGCTAAGCAGTTAATGTCCTGTCAGGCACATCTGTGTTTACTACCATCAGATACTCCCAGCTGTTCGCATTGCCTCTGTTTGATGGTCATTCTGGGACCTGCCTGATGTTGAGAAGCGTGTTATTAGAGAAGTAAATCCCTTACTGAAGATTGATCAAGGAGGGATGTAAGCTCGGGGGTGCTGGAGTTGGTTCATAAAGTCGAGGACAGAGACGTGTACTGGCAATTACAGAAGGTGAATTTATTTAAGACTCTTGATCAGAGCTTTTAGGGGTCTGTTATTGCTTTGGTGTAAATTATGCTTTGAAATCATTCCTGTAGTCAGGTTTTTTTAGGGCCCCTCAAATAGATATAAACCATTCCTCTCCTATGGGGAGTAGAAGCAGGCAGATTCCTTGCTACTATATAGATAAGGAAAAAGAGCCATTGAAATGCCAAGAGCAGCTTCTTAATCAAGCACCTGGTTACTGAGGCCAGGTGCCATGTATTTAAAAGAGACAGGGAAATGTGTCCATGCTGAGGATCCTTAGTTTGCTTCCCTCAGATCCTCGCTCAGCTCTTCCCACCATGCGCTGTGCTCGGGAACCGTCTCAGGATTCCTGAGTCCTCTGGCTTCCCCTTGAGCTCAGCCCATGGTGCCCCTGCAGGAGGCTCCAGGAAGGTAAGACAGCATTCTCTCCCTCTTTTTGGCATGCTCACTTCCACTGGCTCTGTGAAAGGTCCCAGAGTAGAAGCTCTAAGACCCTTTTTCTGGCTTTCTTTGAGCTAGGGTGGTATCTCTAGCTCTGTTACTCAGGGTACTATACCATTCCCCGTGTACCATCTCCTAAAACCCTGCCCACCTTTTTTCCTCTATTAAACCCTCATTAAATTATCCTAGTCTGAGTGTGCCAGTCTGTTAGGACACCAACTGGCATAATATCCCTATCCCAAATAAGCTTGCAGGCTCTCTTATGGAGAAAACTAATACCACATAAATGGCAACAGATCAAGACCTGGATGGTTTCGCACATGAGCAGCACACCTGAGCCCATACAGATCTTAATGCTTCACCAGGGGAACGTGAAGTCTGTGCTGTTTCTCTTAAATCTCTCTCTCTCTCTCTGTCTTTCTAATAAACTTCTAGGACAGAGGAAAAGGGAAGAAAGCCTGGCAAGTTAGCATCACTCCGGACACAGTCTTACAGACTTTTACCATCAATCTGAGGGGCTTTCTTCCCCATTTCTGTTGTAGCTCTTTGTGCTCTCTATCTCCATCAAGCCTAACAAGAACTCTTTGGTATCCTCTGGACAAGAGATACAATCTGAAATGACTCAAAATATTCTGGTTCATGTAGAAACTATACCTCCATTTCAGAGTTAAACTCTGAAATATTCTAGCTTGTACTCTCTTACTACTGTTTAAAACTCTACTTGGCCATGTTGGTACACTCAAGCATTGGTTAAAAGAGTTGTTTAAAACAATTTAACATAAATGCAAAGATATCACACAAAGCAAGAGGAATCAAGCACTTTCCTACTTACTTACTATAGCTATTCTCTACTCATGTAATTATATCTGGTGCCCAATTATCAGGGGACAGGCTTTGGTTTCCATCACTAACCAAAGTGAACTTTAAATATGGATATGAAAAAAAAAATAAATAAATATGGATATGAAGAGGGAAGGGTCTAATGATGATAAATGCTGCCTTCTTGACAAAAACTTTCATAGCTCTCAAATGCAGCACTTGG